CAGTAAATTAATATCAGTTCAGTGTCGTATTTAACCTGTTCCAGTTATACCGATTAAATCCGAATATCATGTTGAGTCTAGTATAGCATCTTAACATAATTAATCAGTTAATTTATCAGTCTGAGCATAGTCCTTAGTAATTGTTTATATTATATTTCAGTTTGATCAAGCATCAGCACTACCTTCATTTTCACGGATCAGGTGGGGACTCAGACTAAGTACTATTACGCTACCATGTTTGAGGTATCTATTATCAGTATCCGCTCGGAATGGTCGCCAGTCCATTCTGGGTTCTAGTGGCCCTAATCTTCCCACTAAAGTGTGCACATGGTGTCCGGTATTAGTTTGTGCCGACAGATGTTCAGTTATCAGTCAGGTGATTTATATCACGAGATCAGTATCAGATTATTCAGTTCCGGTATCAGTTATCAGTTCAGTTTTAGTTCAGTTATATATACCAGGATCATGATATTTTTATTATTTTCACTGTTTTACTTTAGTATGAGTTTCTGCGAAGCACAGTGTTTTGGTGCTCACGCCTCCACGTATTTCATGTTTTTTTTCAGGTCACAGAGTCGGGGACGAGGAGTGAGCTGACGAGCTGTTCAGGATATTTGTTATGATGTATATGTTATGTTTTGACCACGCTACTATTCTGCTTCAGTTTTCAGTACCTGAACTCAGCTTTTGATCCGACGATAGTCGGTTAATATTTATAACCATTTATAATATCAATTTAAAATTAACGGTTTTCAGAACAGTCAGCTTTTCACGGTAACACTCCGAATCAGTTTTCGCAAAAGGAAATATTTTATTAATTTTAACTAGAAAGTTTGCGAAAAAGCGTACTCTGATTTCAGTAAATAGCGGGGTGTTACAACATATACTTCTCGCACCATCTCGTTTCGTAACTAAATTGTATACATTTAAATGAGTCGAGGATAATAAGAGTAAATAGGGGCAAAAACGAAAAAATAATCAACGTTTCCGGAAAGGCTTGTTTTCGAACACGACACCATTATTTGATTTGGATAACATATATTTCTCGCACCATCGCGTTTCGAAACCAAATCGTATACATTTAAAGAAGTCGAAAAAAATATGAGTAAATAGGGGAAAAAACTAAAAAATAATCAACGTCTCCGGAAAGGCATGTTTTCGAACACGGCACCATTATTTGATGTGAATAACAAATATTTCTCGCACCATCGCGTTTCGTAACAAAATTGTATACATTTAAAGAAGTCGAGGAAAATAAGAGTAAATATGGGCAAAAACGAAAAAATAATCAACGTCTCCGGAAAGGCTTGTTTTCGAACACAACACCATTATTTGATGTGAATAACATATATTTCTCGCACCATCGCGTTTTCGAAGCAAATTTGTATAGATTTGAAGAAGTCGAGAAAAATAAGAGTAAATAGGGGCAAAAGCGAAAAAATAATCAACGTCTCCGGAAAGGCTTGTCTTCGAACACGACACCATTATTTGATGTGAATAACATATATTTCTTGCACCATCGCGTTTCGTAACAAAATTGTATACATTTAAAGAAGTCGAGCAAAATAAGAATAAATAGGGGCAAAAACGAAAAATAATCAACGTCTCCGAAAAGGCTTCTTTCGAAACACGGCACCATTATTTGTTGTGAATAACATATATTTCTCGAACCATCGTGTTTTGAAACCAAATCATATACATTTAAAGAAGTCGAATAAAATAAGAGTAAATAGGGGCAAAAATGAAAAAATAATCTATGTCTCCGGAAAGGCTTGTTTTCGAACACGACACCATTATTTGATGTGGATAACATAGATTTCTCGCACCATCGTGTTTCGAAGCAAATTCGTATACATTTAAAGAAGTCTAGGAAAATAATAGTAAATAGGGGCAAAAACGAAATAAATAATCAACGTCTTTGGAAAGGCTTGTTTTCGAACACGACACCATTATTTGATGTGAATTAGATATATTTCTCGCACCATCGCGTTTCGAAGAAAAATCGTATACATTTAAAGAAGTCGAATAAAATAAGAGTAAATAGGCGAAAAAATAATCAACGTCTTCGGAAAGGCTTGTTTTCGATCACAGAACCATTACTTGATGTGAATAATATATATTTCTCGCACCATCGCGTTTCGTAACAAAATTGTATAGATTTAAATAAGTCGAGGAAAATATGAGTAAATATGGGCAAAAACGAAAAAATAATCAACGTCTCCGGAAAGGCTTGTTTTCGAACACGGCACCATTATTTGATGTGACTAACATATATTTCTCGCACCATCGCGTTTTCGAAGCAAATTCGTATACATTTAAAGAAGTCGAGGAAAATAAGAGTAAATAGGGGCAAAAACTAAAAAATAATCAACGTCTCTGGAAAGGCATGTTTTCGAACGCGACACCATTATTTGATGTGAATAACATATATTTCTCGCACCATTGCGTTTCGTAACAAAATTGTATACATTTAAAGAAGTCGAGCAAAATAAGAATAAATAGGGGCAAAAACGAAAATATAATCAACGTCTCTAGAAAGGCTTGTTTTCGAATACGACACCATTATTTGATGTGGATAACATATATTTCTCGCACCATCGCATTTTGAAGAAAATTCGTGTACATTTAAAGAAGTCGAGGAAAATAAGAGTAAATAGGGGCGAAAACGAAAAGATAATCAACATTTCCAGAAAGGCTTGTTTTTTAACACGACACTATTATTTGATATGAATAACTTAAATTTCTCGCACCATCGCGTTTCCATGCAAATTCGTATACATTTAAAGAAGTCGACGAAAATAAGAGTAAATAGGGGCAAAAACGAAAAATAATCAACGCCTCCGAAAAGGCTTGTTTCGAACACGGCAGTATTATTTGTTGGGAATAACATATATTTCTCGAACCATCACGTTTCGTAGCAAAATCGTATACATTTAAAGAAGTCGAAGAAAATAATAGTAATTCGGGGCAAAAATGAAAAAATAATCTACGTCTCCGGAAAGGCTTGTTTTCGAACACGAC